GAGAGAGATGGAAAGAGAGAGAGAGGAGAGATGGAAAGAGACGGGGAGGAGAGAGACAGAGGAGAGAGAGACAGAAAGAAAGAGAAAGGGAAGAGAGATGAAAGAGAGAGAAAGAAAGCGAGAGGGATGCAGAAAGATGGAAAGAGAGAGAGGGAAGAGAGACGGAAGAAAGAGAGGAGGTCGAGGCAAAAAGAGAGAGGAGAGAGACAGAAAGAAAGAGAGGAGAGAGAGAGAAAGAAAGAAAGAAAGAAAGGGAGGAGAGAGAAACGGAAAGAGAGAGTAGGTAGAGACAGAACGAGAAGAGAGAGAGATAGAAAGAGAGATGGAAGAAAGACAAAAAGAGAGAGGAGGTAGAGAGAGAATAAAAAGAGGAGAGAGAGAGAGAGAGTGTGGAACAGAGAGCAGGTTTTTCTTCTTCTTCTGCTGAACTTTGCACGTCTCCCTCAGGGCGACATTATTGAAAACCATTTCCTCCAAATGAGAGACTGAACCAGACCAGAGTCATTAACATACACACACACACACACACACACACACACACACATGAAACCGATATAATGGGAGTTGGCGCTGCCGATATAATCGCCGATATATTTAGTGATGTAAAAATTCACTGTAAATGTTGAATTGTTTAAAAAACTTAGGTTTGGCTCTGGTGGATTTTAAATTGGGTTTATTTAGGCAACATTTATTGTTATTCTGCCTCTTTACATCATATTTACAGACAGTAGGTTGGCTTAATGGCATTTTTGCATCACATTCTAGACACTAGTGATGGGTATTCCAGTTCTTTTTAGAGAACCGGCTCTTTTGGCTCGGCTCACTAAAAGCTGCTGGTTCTTTTGGCTCCCAAGTGGCTCTTCAGATTGTTTTTGTTGCAAGCAGGACTAAAGCAGGGTCTAAAGCAGGACTGAACCAGGTCTAAACCAGGACTAAAAAGGACTAAACAGGGACTTATTTATTTTATGCTAAACTACAGTCAAATATGCTCGTTTTTTTATTTTTATTTTTTTTAATCCTATGTACACGCAAATTTCTCAAAGTTTCGTTTTCAGCCGCTGCCGCTGTCAAACCACGAGTCTGCACGCGGCGTGAAGAGAAAAAAAGTGAGAGAAAGAGAAAACACGGCTCCCAATAAGGATCAGGCTCCCGTCGTTCCCTTCAAAGAGCCGGTTCTAAGAGTCATTTCGTTCGCGACCGACTCATAACTAGTAAAGAAAGTAGCGCTATTAGCCTTTAGCCGTAAATACGTGCGCGCCGCGGTAATTAATTATATGTGCAAATGTCATAATTCACACGTCTGTTCACAGCTCATTTACATATCAGTGCAGGTCCAGTAGCAAATATACGGCCAATATAGTCACTTTAGACCAATAGAAAACAGTCTGTTTATGTGCGGAGCTACAGCAGCTAACCCATAACAAATGACAAAAACTAGCTTCAGAGTCGACATATTTCCAACACTCACCGCTCACACAGGCTCCTCCCACATCACAAATCTGCACTAATAAATGTCCTTTTAATCCAGACTCAAACCGATTGTCCGTAAAAAGAAAATAATCTCAGTGTTTGGATCTGTGTCTGCAGGTGTAAACAAACACGTGAGTGACGACTCTGTGGTGTGTTCAGGGACAGTACGGACACACACAGACAAATGACTCCACAGATAAATACTGATGTGGACATTATTATTAGGACATTTATCTGTCTGTAAATTGGTTTAAATGAACAGAATGTAGAGAGTCTAAGCTTTATAACGACGTATAACCTGCCCACGTGAAATATCGGCCCATATCAGCAAGCATATCGGCCGATACCGATATGCCTAAAGTCGCCCATATCAGCCGGGCTCTACTATACACACACACATCTGTACACACACACACATCTGTACACACACACACATCTGTACACACACACACATCTGTACACACACACACATCTGTACACACACACACATCTGTACACACACATAGTACTATTGCTACTACACACACACACAAATGAGACTAAATCAGGACTAAACCAGGATTAAAAATACTGTGTGTTCTAAAGCTTTAGTCCACAGACATGTCCCGCTTCACCGTGGTAACTGCTGCGCATTCATCCATAGACACACATGTAGAACGTCGTCGCAAAGTCTCAACTGGAGGATTTTCACAGATATCAGCTCATAATATAATTAACGCCATATTATTTAACATTCCGGGTGACAAAAAAAAAAAAAAAAGACATCTCAAGCGGGTTGACTCCCCACGAGAAAAGTTCCACAGTGGTGCTTTAAACTCATGTGTCAACAGACTGATGCTTTGTGTCAGTTTGACCTCGTCTCTTTTTCTCTCATGTCTGTGCTTCCTGGAGCCTGACACTGCAAGAACCCGTCAAATCACTCCTCTCTTTCTCTCCTCCATCTCTCTCTCTTTCATCTCTCTTTCTCTCTCTCTCATCTTTCTCTCCTCCATCCTTCTCTCCTTCATCTCTCTTTCTCTGTCTCTCATCT